ATCCCTGGCTTGTGACCCTGACCATTCTCTCCTCCTGCTCCTCCTGTACCTACCTGCCCGATAGTTATCGACCCGGCCTGCCTGACTACGTTGTGCTCTACATGTGTATGTACCTGTGTATCTATATCAGTTTAGGTTTGGGTTTGTTTCACCTTGTTGTATGTATTTGTGTTAGCTTGGGGTTTGGTGCACTGCGTTTATGTTTGTATTGTTAGTCTTAATAAATTATATTGTTTATAACATATCTGAAGCCTGCGTTTCCCTGTGTCAGTCCACACACTTCTGGTCACACCCGCATCCCTGACACCTAGTCTGTCTGCATTTGTATCTCTATGAGGAGGAGCTGCTTTATCCAAACTTTAATGTAAGTTGTTAAATAAAGGATGATGTTTTATGGAATCTACCATATGTAATTGTGGATTTTCTTATGAGGATAATGGAAGAAAAACCCTAACACTGGATGGAACCCTACTGATAAGAAGTTAACCCAGATTTGTGTTATGCCCTGTCATTTTATATATAGGGTAATTATCCATCAGCACACGAGTTGGAGAGTGTTGGTTTTGGGTGTGTGTAGGGTTTATGGTGATCACTGATGAATACAGAGTGTGGTGATACACATTTGCAGTGATATACTTAAGTTGCTTTCACAGATTTTGTAGTGGACACGATGTGTGAGTGTTTCACTTATAAATTATTATTATTATTATTATACAGTATTTATAAAGCGCCAATAGTTCGCTCAGCGCTGAACATTACAAAAAGGGAGACAGAACATGTGACAGAACAATACCAATACAATGCAAAACATGAGGGGATCAAGGGCCCTGCTCCTTGGAGCTTACAATCTAGGAGGGAGGGGATGGTGGCACAGGAGGAGATAGCTGTGGGGGATGGAGTGGTAGGAAGAGTGGAGGAGGTCGGCAAGTTAGCAGGGGGTGGGGTAGGCTTCCCTGAAGAGATGGGTTTTCAGGGTGCGCCTAAAGGAGAGGAGAGTAGGTGATAATCTGATGGGTTGGGGCAGGGAGTTCCAGAGGATGGGTGACACCCTGGAGAAGTCCTGGAGGCGGGCATGGGAGGAGGAGACCAGGGAACTAGAGAGAAGGAGGTCTTGTGAGGAGCGGAGTGTGCGTGTTGGGCGGTACTTGGATATTAGGTCAGTGATGTAGTTCGGGGCAGTATGGTGGACGGCTTTGTACGTCAGTGTTAGGATTTTGAATTTGATCCGTTGCACAATCGGAAGCCAGTGGAGGGATTGGCAGAGGGGGGTGGCGGAGACAGTGCGGTTGGAAAGGTGAATGAGTCTGGCAGCCGTGTTGAGGATGGACTGAAGAGGGGATAGCCAGCGGCGAGGCAGGCCAGTGAGGAGGGAGTTGCAGTAGTCGAGTCGTGATATGATGAGGGAGTGGATGAGCTGTTTAGTGGTTTCTGGGGTTAGGAACGTGCGGATTTTGGCGATGTTGCGGAGGTGGAGTCTGCATGTTGCGGAGGTGGAGTCTGCATGTTGCGGAGGTGGAGTCTGCACGAGTTTGTTAAAGAGTGGACTTGGGGCTGGAAGGATAGGTTGGAGTCCAGAATGACACCCAGTACTCTGGCCTGCAGGGCGGGTTTGATGATAGCGTTGTTGGATGTGACGGAGAAATCAATGGGGGTGGTGTCCGGGCTGGGGGGGAAGACAAATAATAAATAATTTGGTTACACAGAGAAACATTTAAAAATATATGCGTGTATGTAGATATTCGCATATAGATTAACACATATATATCTATATATATATATATGTATATATTTTTTTTTTTCTCACAGTATTATTGCTTGTTGCACATTGAGTGGCACGTGAGTATTTATTATTTAAAAGGTATGACACTATGTTGAGTTTTTTTCTTTTGAGGTATGTTGTCATCAGAATTTGCGGATGTTGAGAAAGAGACTTGTTGTTGAAAGAAGAAAAAAGAGACTTTGCTGAACAATTGTTTACACTTGTGGGGATTGTTTTGATATTTTGGACACTTTTGTGGTTTTTTAAAAGAGAAAAGTTTTATATTTTTTTTTTTTTTGTTTGATTAGCCTTCAAGGGTGGAGGTGGATGACTTTTCTGGGATATTATATGGGAATTCTGTGCTGTGTATTTGAATATATTTTAAAACTATTTAATATATATATATATATATACATACATACATACAGTGGGGATGGAAAGTTTGGGCACCCCAGCTAAAAATTTGTATTAATGTGCATAAAGAAGCCAAGGAAAGATGGAAAAATCTCCAAAAGGCGTCAAATTACAGATTAGACATTCTTATAATATGTCAACAAAAGTTAGATTTTTATTTCCATCATTTACACTTTCAAAATAACAGAAAACAAAAAAATGGCGTCTGCAAAAGTTTGGGCCCCCTGCAGAGTTAATATCTTGTACTGCCCCCTTTTGGCAAGTATCACGGCTTGTAAACGCTTTTTGTAGCCAGCCAAGAGTCTTTCAGTTCTTGTTTGAGGTATCTTTGCCCATTCTTCCTTACAAAAGTCTTCCAGTTCTTTGAGATGTCTGTCACGCACGGCTCTTTTAGGGTCTATCCATAGATTTTCAATGATGTTGAGGTCAGGAGATTGTGAAGGCCATGGCAAAACCTTCAGTTTACGCCTCTTGATGTAATCCCCCGTGGATTTCGAGGTGTGTTTAGGATCATTATCCATTTGTAGAAGCCATCCTCTCTTTAACTTCAGCTTTTTCACAGATGGCATCAAGTTACCATCCAAAATTTGCTGAAATTTTATTGAATCCATTTTTCCTTCTACTCAATTCAATTTTAACCTCATCGGTCCACAGAACTTGTTTCCAAAATGCATCAGGCTTGTCTATATGTTCATTTGCAAAGTTCAAACGATGATTTTTGTGGTGAGGACGTAGAAGAGGTTTTCTTCTGATGACTCTTCCATGAAGACCATATTTGTACAAGTATCTCTTTATAGTGGAATAGTGTACCACAACTCCAGTGTCTGCCAGATCTTTCTGGAGGGATCGTGCAGTCAAACGTGGGTTTTGAATTGTTTTTTCTCACAATCCTGCGAGCTGTTCTGTCTGATATTTTTCTTGGTCTTCCAGATCTTGCTTTACCTTCCACTGTTCCTGATGACTGCCATTTCTTAATTACATTCCGAACAGAGGATATTGACATCTGAAAACGCTTTGCTGTCTTCTTATAGCTTTTTCCAGCTTTGTCAACTATTTTCAGTTTCAGTTTTCTAGACAACTGCTTAGAAGAACCCATGGTGCTGATTGTTGGGGCAAGGTCAGATGAGTCGGGGCATTTAAAACCTTTGAGATTGACATCACCTGGTCTTCCCAGACGATGATTGAGAACAATCCATGACACTGGCAGGTCTCAGCTTGGCAAAGGGGGCGGTGCATGCTATAAATTCTGCAGGGGGCCCAAACTTTTGCAGACGCCATTTTTTTTGTTTTCTGTTATTTTGAAAGTGTAAATGATGGAAATAAAATCTAACTTTTGGTGACATATTATAAGAATGTCTAATTTGTAATTTGATGCCTTTTGGAGAGTTTTCCATCTTTCTTGGCTTCTTTATGCACATTAATACAAATTTTTAGCTGGGGTGCCCAAACGTTTGATCCCCACTGTATATATATATACACGGCACAGTGGCATAGTGGTTAGCACTTCTGCCTTGCAGTAAATGGGTCATGGGTTGGATACCCAACCATGGTGCCTCCTGCATGGAGTTTGCATGTTCTCCCTGTGTTTGCGTGGGTTTCCTCCCACACTCCAAAGACATGCTGGTAGGTTAATTGGCTCCTGTCTAAATTGTCCTAGTTTCATCCCTGGCCATGTGGGATCTCCTCCATGGTGGGGGTTGGGGAAAGACCTGGCAACCTACCCTGTAAAATAATTGCTAAGAGAATTCATGGAAGAAGTCACTTGCGAGTGACGGTCCATGCAATCACCAAGGGTTGGATACTACTGAATGGATATATATATATAAAAATACATTTTCAAATATACAGTATATCTTTAAAAATACATGTACATAGTTAGTAATTTATAATCCTCCACCCACAGTGTATCCAGAGGAAGGCAAAAAAAAACCCCAGCAAAGCACGATCCAATTTGCTCCTGCAGGGAAAAGATTCCTTCCTGATCCCCCGAGAGGCAATCGGATATTCCCTGGATCAACTTTCCCTATAAATATTATATCCAGTTATATTCTGTGTATCCAAGAAAGAATCCAGGACTTTCCTACAGCAATCCACTGAGCTGGCCACACCCAACTCTGGAGGGAGTCTATTCCACATTCTCACAGCTCTTACTGTGAAGAAACCTTTCCATGTTTGGAGATGGCATTTCTTTTCCTCCATTTTATGGTGCTAAGTAACCCCTCGCCCTCCTGAGGATTTCCCCCCCCCTTCTGACCAGGCCGTTTTTTGTGATACAGCTCTGAATGACTTTAACTGACAATTGCGGCGGTCATGCAACACTGCACCCAAATGAAATTTATGTCCCTTTTTTTACCCACAAATAGAGCTTTCTTTTGGTGGTATTTGATCACCTCTGCGGTTTTTATTTTTTGCCCTATAAAAAAAAAGACCCCCAATTTTGAGAAAAAACTATTTTTGACTTTTTAGGGGTACAGGGTGTGAATGTCCTGGTATTATGTATTGGTGTGTTTGTCCTTTGTTCTCGGCCACGTGGCTGTCCATTGTCCTTTGCCATCTGCTGTAGCCCTTCCCACTGATGGGGCTGGCTGATGATGTGTTTCCTGTAGCCCTTCTCACTGATGGGGCTGGCTGATGATGTGTTTCCTATAGCCCTTCCCACTGATGGGGCGGGCTGATGATGTGTTTCCTGTTCCTGGTTGTATTTCCCCGCCCCGTGTATATAACTTGTTTGTGTAAAAATAAAGGCATTGACTTCCTGTTTTAGGAGAGTCGGGTGCTGTCTATTTCTTGAGGGATTTCAAGGGTGTGGTCCTTGGATTTGTGTTCGGATAGGGAAGCTGCGGTATAACGGAATATACCCGAGAGCAGTCAGGTTCCGGTTCCGTTACAGATTGGAACACCTGAATCAAATGATATGGAGGGGATTGGAACACCTAAATCACATGATATGGAGGAGATTGAAGAGCATGAATCACATGATGTGGAGGGGATTGGAACATCTAAATCACATGATGTAGAGGGGATTGGGACACCTGAATCACATGATTGAGAGGGGATTGGAGCACCTGAATCACATGATACGGAGGGGATTGGAACACCCGAATCACATGATATGGATGGGATTGGGACACCTGAATCACATGATTGGGAGGGGATTGGGACACCTGAATCACATGATTGAGAGGGGATTGGGACAACTGAACCACATGATATGCAGGGGATCGGAGCACCCAAATCACATGATTGGGAGGGGATTGGAAAAACACCCGAATCACATGATTGGGAGGGGATTGGAACACCAGAATAACATGATTGGGAGGGGATTGGGACACCTGAATCACGTGATTGGGAGGGGATTGGAGCACCTGAATCACATGATTGGGAGGGGATTGGAGCATCCGAATCACATGATTGGGAGGGGATTGGAACACCTGAATCACATGATTTGGAGGGGATTGGAACACCTGAATCACATGATATGGAAGGGATTGGGACAACTGAATCACATGATACGGAGGAGATTGGAACACCTAAATCACAGGATATGGAGGGGATTGGAGCACCCGAATCACATGATTGGGAGGGGATTGGAACACCTGAATCACATGATTGGGAGGGGATTGGAACACCTGAATCACATGATATGGAAGGGATTGGAACACCTGAATCACATGATTGGGAGGGGATTGGAACAACTGAATCACATGATTTGGAGGGGATTGGGACACCTGAATCACATGATTGAGAGGGGATTGGGACAACTGAATCACATGATATGGAGGGGATTGGAGCAACCGAATCACATGATTGGGAGGGGATTGGAGCAACCGAATCACATGATTGGGAGGGGATTGGAACACCTAAGTCACATGAATACTCTGGTCCATTTGAGGGCAGCAAGGTGTGCATGTTCCAGGACATTCTTAATGTGGTTGTAGCCTGCATCGAGTCCATCCCCAAGCGCAGGAGCATTTGTGTTTGCTGGTTCTTTGTTACCTAAATCACATGATATGGAGGGGATTGGGACAACTGAATCACATGATATGGAGGGGATTGGGACACCTGAGTCACATGATATGGAGGGGATTGGGACAACTAAATCACATGATTGAGAGGGGATTGGGACACCTGAATCACATGATATGGACGGGATTGGGGCAAATGTATTACATGATATGGAGGGGATTGGGACACCTGAATCACATGATTGAGAGGGGATTGAGACACCTGAATCACATGATTGGGAGGGGATTGGAACACCCAAATCACATGATTGGGAGGGGATTGGAGCACCTGAATCAGATGATATGGAGGGAATTGGAACATCTGAATCACATGATTGGGAGGGGATTGGAACACCTGAATCACATGATTGGGAGGGGATTGGAACAACTGAATCACATGATTGGGAGGGGATTGGAACACCTGAATCACATGATTGGGAGGGATTGGAACACCTGAATCACATGACTTGGAGGGGATTGGAACACCTGAATCACATGATTGGGAGGGCGGGGGACAATACTTTTGGCAATATAGTGTATGTATAAAGGGAGGTAACAGTAGTCCAAACCAAGACAGCAGCCTGAGGTTAAGCCTTAGACTCCAGAGAGAAAGATATCATAATACCGCCCCCCCTTCCCCCGGGTACAAATCATTAGTAAGACCTCATCTGGAATATGCAGTTCAGTTTTGGGCTCCAATTCACAAAAAGAACATTGGGGAACTGGAGAAAGTACAGAGAAGGGCAACCGAAGTTGATCCAGGGAATATCCGATTGCCTCTCGGGGGATCAGGAAGGAATTGTTTCCCCTGCAGGAGCAGATTGGATTGTGCTTTGATGGGTTTTTTTGCCTTCCTCTGGATCAACTGTGGGTGTAGAATTATTTATTGGTGGAACTGGATGGACTTTTGTCTTTTTTCAGCCAGACTAACTATGTAACGATGTAACTATGTAAGGTGCCAATGTTGCATCTCCAAAGACAAAGTCTGGTGAATGTTGTTGCATATTTGTATTGTTGAGTTTCTATCCGCGGAGAGTTGCGGCGTTCCGTTGATCCTCGGCTCCGCAGGCCTGATCAACACTTGCAACTTCTTATTGTGTTCAGTTCCGTGTCCCTCATTGTTACATTGTATCCGACATAAAACACAGCCGTGGAATCCTTTGTCCCGGCGCAGTGACACAATGACATGTCCGCGTCACACGGAATTGCACAATCTGTTCCCTTGGCAGCGCAGAAGAAAATCCTTTCAGTGAATATTATGTGACCCCCCCGGTGACACCGGAGCACAAGCAGCCGTCTCTCCTTCCCGCGGTGCCGCCGAACGCATTAGAAACAAATCCTTTCCTACGACTGTTAGCGACATCGCGGCCGCATTCGTTTGTTTAACCGCTTGAGTCCCCGGGACTTTCCGCGCTTCATTCCCCTCGGGAGCACCTTTGGCACCTTGTAGCGCTTGCAGTCTGTGATGTTCAGGATTATGGATTTATAAATGACATACAAATATTTATCAATGATCATTTTATAAATCATATAAACTCCTCCTATGATATCCTCCTCTCATCACCTCCTCCCACACTCGCCTCCAGGACTTCTCCAGAGCCTCTCCCATCCTCTGGAACTCCCTACCATAGCATGTCCGGTTAGCCCCCACCCTGTCTGACCTTTAGGCGATCTTTGAAAGCTCTCTTCTTCAGGGAAGCCTACCCCACCCCCACCTAAGAAACTGTACTTGGGTCACCTCCACCAGATCACCCCCCCGCAGCTATCACCGTTTGTATCACCTCCCCCTTCCTTTAGATTGTAAGCTCCACGGGCCGGGCCCTCCTATTCCTTCTGTACTGAAATGTATTGTAATTGTACCGCCCCCCTTATATTGTAAAGTGCTGCGCTATATAAATCCTGTACAGGGGCGGACTGACAACTTATGGGGCCCCCAGGCAATAGGCGATCATGGGGTCCCTGTGTCCTTGCCCAAACTCAAAAAAGCCTATGAAAAAGGTACCAGGGGCATCTCATGGGGCCCCCTACTGACCCCGGGCAATCGGGCAGTGCCCGAGTTTCCAAATGGTCAGTGCGCCCCTGATCCAGTCCAATAATAATAATATAAATCCTGTATAATAATAATAATAATATAAATCCTGAATAATAATAATAATAATATAAATCCCTGTAATAATAATAATAAGAAATAAATAATAATATAGTATTTATATAGTATAATATATAAGTTTACAATTTAATAATTATATTTTTTTTTTATTTTTTTTTTTGTTTTTTTTTGGTTGTTTTTTTCTCATGACCAATTGGGCTTTTTGTAGAGTTGTATACATACAGTATATATTTTTATTTCCTAATTTTTTAAAAAAAAAATTTAATGGAAAAGAAAATAATTAAAAAAATGGATTTTGTTGCACTTTTTGCAAATGCTAAATTTTAGGCACCCATGGATATTTAACAAAATATAAGACATAAGACCATTTCATAGCTTTCATAGAAGTGTGGCTGTATATCATTTTTGTTTTTGGTTGTTTTTTTTTTCTCCTGATCAATTGGGCTTTTTGTAGAGTTGTATAAATATATATTTTTATTTCTTAATTTTCTTTTTTAATGAAAAAAAAAATAATTAAGAAAAATGGATATAAGACATAAGACCATTTCAAAGCTTTTGTAGAAGTGTGGCTGAATATAACTGTTTTGTTTTTGGTTGTTTTTTTTTTCTCATGACCAATTGGGCTTTTTAATGAAAAAAATAAAAGAATTAAAAAATGGATTTTGTGGTACTTTTTGCAAAATGCAAATGTTACGCAACCTGTGCACCCATGGATATTTAACAAAATATAAGACCATTTCAAAGCTTTCATATAAGTGTGGCTGTATATAATTTTTTGTTTTTGGTTGTTTTTTCTTCTCCTGACCAATTGGGTTTTTGTAGAGTTGTATACATACAGTTGCAAGAAAAAGTATGTGAACCCCTTGGGATTACGTGGAATTTTGCATGAATTGGGCATAAAATGTGCTCTGAACGTCATCTAAGTCACAACAATAGAAGAACACAGTCTGCTGAACATAATACTACACAAACATTAGATGTTGCCATGGTTTAATTGCACATAACATGTAAACATTTACAGTGCAGGGAGGAAAAAGTATGTGAACCTTTGGACTTAATAACTGGTTGACCCTCCTTTGGCAGCAATAACCTCAACCAAACGTTTCCTGTAGTTGCAGATCAGACCTGCACAACGATCTGGAGTCATTTTGGACCACCCCTCTTCACAAAACTGTTTCAGTGTAGCAATATTCTTGGGATATCTGGTGTGAATCGCTCTCTTAAGGTCATGCCACAGCATTTCAATCGGGTTGAGGTCAGGACTCTGACTGGGCCACTCCAGAAGGCGTATTCTGTGCTGTTGCAGCCATTGTTTTGTTGAATGACTTGTATGCTTTGGGTCATCATTGTCCTGTTGCATCACCCATCCTCTGCGGAGCTTCAGTTGGCGGACAGATGGTCGTACGTTTTCCTGCAAAATGTCTTGATAAACTCTGGAATTCATTTTCCCATTAATGACAACAATCCGTCCAGGCCCTGAGGCAGCAAAGCAGCCCCAAACCATGATGCTCCCTCCGCCATGTTTCACAGTGGGGATGAGGTTTTGATGTTGGTGTGCTGGGCCTTTTTTTCTCCACACATAGTGTTGTGTGTTCTTCCCAAACAACTCAATCTTGGTGTCATATGTCCACAGTATATTCTGCCAGTAGGGCTGTGGAACATCCAGGTGCTCTTTTGCAAACTTCAAACGTGCTGCAATCTTCTTTTTGGACAGCAATGGCTTCCTCCGTGGTGTCCTCCCATGTACTCCATTCTTGTTTAATGTTTTCTTTATTGTAGATGTGTCAACAAAAATGTTAGCATGTGCCAGAGATTTCTGTAGGTCTTTAGCTGACACTCTGGGATTCTTCTTTACCTCATACAGCATTCTGCGCTGGCTCTTGCAGTCATTTTTACAGGACGACCACGCCTAGGGAGAGTAGCAACAGTGCTAAACTTTCTCCATTTGTAGACAGTCTGTCTTACCGTGGACACATGAACATCAAGGCTCAAGGAGATACTTTTGTAACCCTTTCCAGCTTCATGCAAGTCAACAATTCTTGATCGTAGGTCTTCTGAGAGCTCTTTTCTGCGAGGCATGGTTCACATCAGACAGTGCTTCTTGAAACCAGTAAACCCAAAACAGGTGTCAGCAACACATCCAATATCATCACACTGATTGGAGTCAAGGTTGGCTCACTCCTGGCTCCAATTAGCTCTGGGAGAAGTCATTAAGCTAGGGCCTCACATACTTTTTCCTCCCTGCACTGTGAATGTTTACATGTTATGTGCAATGAAACCATGGCAACATCTAATGTTTGTGTAGTATTATGTTCAGCAGACTGTGTTCTTCTATTGTTGTGACTTAGATGATGTTCAGAGCACATTTTATGCCCAATTCATGCAAAACTCCACGTAATCCCAAGGGGTTCACATACTTTTTCTTGCAACTGTATATTTTTATTTCCTAATTTTTAAATTTTTTTTTAATGGAAAAAAAAGAATTACAAAAATTGATTCTGTGGTACTTTTTGCAAATGCCAAATTTTATGCAACCTTTTTTTTTCATCACAGATTTGCTTTCAGTAAATATCCAAATGGCGCTGTGCTCACTTATGTGAGCGTTTGACGCTTGCGCAGTAAATGTCATCCAGATTATGTGACATCAATGTTGGAATTAATCAGGGATGGGAATGCTTTTTATTTTTATTTAAGAAAAAATATTATTATTATTATTGTTTTTATTATTATTTTATTTACCCTCCAGAGGATTTCCCCCCCTTCCTGACCAGTCCATTTTTTTGCATTACTTTAACTGACAATTGCGCGGTCATGCAACGCTGCACCCAAATAAAATTTACGTCCTTTTTTCCCACGAATTGAGCTTTGTTTCGGTGGTATTTGATCTCCTGCACGTTTTTATTTTTTTGCGCTATAAAAGAAAAAGACCGACAATTTTGAGAAAAAAAAAAACAATATTTTTGACTTTTTGCTATTAAACATGTCCAGTAAAAAAATTTAAAAATCAAATTTCATCATAAATTTAGGCAAAATGTATTCTGAGACATGTCTTTGATAAAAAAAAAAATTCCGATATGTGAAAAACGAATTGGTTTATGTAAAAGTTATAGCGTTTACAAATGGCGGTGTAGATACTGGGCTTTTTTTTTTAACTTGTAATGGCGGCGATCAGCAACTTATAGTGGGACTGTGGGACTGGGGGACTGTGGGACTGCGGGACGGGGGGGACTGCAGGACTGCGGGACGGGGGGACTGCGGGACTGGGGGACTGAGGGACTGAAGGACTATGGGACAGGGGGGCTGGGGACTGCGGGACTGGTGGACTGCGGGACTATGGGACTGGGGGACTGTGGGACTGCGGG